TCAGGTGTCACCAATATGCTGATGACCCCCAACTCTATATGATTGAGGTGGCAGATTGTTGAAATGAAAGAATGGATTGTACCATGTCAGATTACAGCGGCGGATTCTGTTTTCCAAAATGCTTCCTAAAATGGACCATTCTACCACCACAAAATCCGACTACCTCATTGCACTGTGTGTGTATACTAGGTCTGAGCCTATGATATCTCTGCCCTTCCTCTATCCCCCCCCAGATACATACACTATATATATTTTTTAACTTTCAGAACTATATGAAGTTGGTTGCTTGAAAGTTGGAGCAGGGGCAGTCTTTGCAATTCTGGAGTCCTGGGCCAAAGCCAAGAATGGGCCTCTACAGGAATCCTTTATTTCCACCCAACTCACTCTGAACAAGAATAAAGTGCCCAGTTCTCACAATGTACAGTCTGTGTTCTGACTTTGCTCTATTTTGTATCACCCCCCACACTGGACATTGGGGCTCCTCAAAAGCAATTTCCTGAACAATTACCCAGACTGCCCATAACTAAGACCACTCCAACTGTGAATTTAGACTGCCAGTTGTATAGTGTTGAACTAAGAGAGCAAAGTTCAAATTCCCACTCTCTGAGTGACCTTGGGACAATCATTCTCTCTCAGCCTTGGCTGCCTCACAGGATGGTTGTAAGAATAAAATGGAGGGAAGAATACACTGTCCTGAGCAGCTTGGGGGGGGGGAGGGGAGATAAAAATGTGATAGAGTTACGCAATCTGAGCAGAAAGATTAGTACTAAAGCATTTGATGATAACGTGCCAATATCTATATTATTACTTGCTGCATTCAGAAATGTAAGTGCTGAAAGGGCGGGAAGTGAAATCACACCTACATTTCCTGGAACCTGCCACATTTTACTGCAGCCTTTTCCCTCTCTCCCAGTCACTGCTCTTCTAACGGCTCAATGAGAGCCGGGAACTCTCTCTGTGTGTGTGTTAAGTGCTGTCAAATCGCTTCTGACTTATAGCCACCCTATGAAATAAGGATCTCCGAAACATCCTATTGTTAACAGTCTAGCTCAGGTCTTGCAAGCCGAGGGCCGCGGGCGGCTTCCTTGATTGAGTCCATCCGTCTCATGGTGGGTCTTCCTCTTCCCTAGCATTGCTGCCTTTTCCAGGGACAGGAATTGCAGCCATGCAATGGGTGAAGTTTTCCCACTGCAGCAGTCGGAGGAAAGCTGGGATTATTTTATTTTTTTGGCACCTGCTACCCTTAGCTTAGAGGGAACATTGGCTGGGATTATTATTTTTTTTGGCACCTGCTACCCTCCTCCTGTATAGATCTCGACCACTCTAAAGTCCTTTCCTTGATTCACTCTCCTTGCCTTTGATGACTTCCCTCCTTACATTTATTTTTCTTTTCTTCCTCCACCTTTTCCTTCCTAATTATGTTTGCCGTCACTGTCTGGCATGCAGGGGTGCCGTCTTAGTGATTCTAGGGCTCTGGTCAAAAGTCCAGAAAGAGGCCCCAGGATGACTGCATCCCAATCCCTTGCTGGGGACACCCCAAGCCCAAGTGAGTGGTGGGCATGGTGCCAGCTGCTGAGGCGGTAAACAGGCACTGGCAATGCTGAGCTGGTTGCCTGAGCTCCAGAGGAGGGGGGTATGCATGGTGGGGGGAGCCTCCTCTCCCTGTTCGTTCCCTACCGTCAGGGTGGTGGTGGCCCAAGGGCAGTTGGAACACTGCTCAGCCTAGGCCCCAGTTTGGTGCAGTGGTTAGGATCATGGACGCTAATCTGGGAGAACTGGGTTTGATTCCCCAACCCTCCCCACGCAGCTGCTGGTGTGACCTTGGGTCAGCCACAAGTTACTTCAGAGCTGTTCTCTCAAGGGCAGTTCTCCAAAGAGCTCTCTCAGCCCCACCTACTTCAGAGGGTGTCTGTTGTGGGGAGGGAAGGAGACTGTAAGCCGCTCTGAGACTCCTTCGGGTAGTGAAGGGCGGGGTATGAATCCAGTCTCTTCTTCAACTGCCTGAGTGCCTTGTGGCTAAGATCACTCATGAGTTTACCTCACTGTAACCCTGCTGGTTGTGGAGGAGCTGGGGTGAGATTTTGGAAACTGGGTCAGGAGGGCATGAGGGCGTTTGCCTTACACTGAATCGGACCTTTCGTCCATTGAGGTCATTCTTGTCAGCTCAGACTGGCCGTGACTGTCCAGGATCTCGGGAAGAGGCCTTTCACATCACTTACTATCCGGTCCCTGGGGGAGGGGCCGTGATCACTGCGGGGCTCCCTCCCGTCCCTCAGCAAATCCCTCCGGATGGGAGGGGAAGGGTGGCAGGCCAGCTGTCCCTTTCAGAGGCCAGTGTCCAAAATGGAATCTTGTCAGTGCAATTTCAGGGGGTGGTGGTGAGTTTCACCCAGCCCAGGAACAATACTTTGGGGTACTCTGGGGTAGTTTAGAGGTGAGGGTGTCTGTAAATGCCAGTAGAACAGGCTCCCCCTCTGATGCGAGGTATACCAGTGGGGTCACAGAGGGGAGGCCGGGAGAGAAAGGTTCCTGGCCTGCTTCCCTCTCCTTCACTACCAGGAGTGGCCCAGGAGGCTTACTTCCTCTTTTGGGGGCTGTGGATCCAGCAAAAACGGTAAACCCTTCATCAGATGTTAATGTGGGCTTGGGGCTGCCTGAGTGATGGCTGTCGTCATAAAACCGGCAGCAGCGGCTTCCACTTGCCGGGCAGCTCGTCAGTGGGGGATTGCCCCAGAGGGGGGCCCCATCCCAGCAGGGGCCCAGGGCGGCTTCCCCGCTTGCCCCGTGGCTAAGGCTGCCCCCGGGTTGGAGGTTTGAGGCTCCAGGTTTTACCTTCCACAAATGCAGTTTTTTTTTTCAAATCTGGCTAGAAATGAGGAAGCACTGGAGTGGATCAGGTAGAAGCCTGCCGAAATGGGCAACACAGACGTAGGCTGGGGATTCTCTCTCTCTCTCTCTCTCTCTCTCTCTCTCTCTCTCTCTCTCTCTCTCGCTTTAATTCTGTATTGCAGTTCTCTGCCAGGACTCTTCAATTTTCACTCCCCCTCGGTGAATTACTAACAGGAGCAGAGACTGTGAACCTCTTTGCTGGAAATGGAGAGAAAGTGGTTCATTAATTATACGGAAAGCTGTAAAAACACAGTGCAGACATCATGGGGGAGGGTGAAAACCTGGGCAGCACTTCATCTGAGAGGCCCTTGCCGTCGCACTGGGTGCCTTGAAGGCCTTTCTGTCTGCCTGCAAAGTTGCGGAGCCCTGTGTGTGTCTCTGTTTCGTACTCTGAAAATGCAGATTCCGGAGTAGGGTTGCTTGGTTGAGCCTGGCATCTAGCGAAGAGGTTGAGGGCAGGGCAGGGCAGTGGGGGGTGGGCAGTGATGCTGGCAGTGTTGCTACATCACTTCTAGGGTAGCTCTAGGAATCTAGGAACCGCCAGAAAGATCTATGGTTTCCTGGTAGACCGATGGTCTCCATGTAAGGCAGTTTCATGTGCTCAGAGTTAGGGGGTGGGAAAGGCTTAAGGCAGTGAAAAATCTTTAAAGGATCTCTCCTAAACTGTGCAGTGGGAGATAAATATAACAAATAAGTAAAATATCAAGGCTGCTGTATCTGTAATATTTGTTATAGATTAGAAGGCAAGGTCCTGTCATGGGCCAGAGTGGAGAGAAGGTTTGAATGCTGCAGGGATCGCCCATGAACCCATAAAACTGCCTTGTACTGAATCAGACCCTCGTACCATCAAAGTCAGTATTGTCTACCTAGACTGGAAGCAGCTCTCCAGGGTCTCAGGCAGAGGTATTGTAAACAGATCAGCCAATATCATAATGCCCCTATATAAATCAATGGTGCGACCTCATTTGGAATACTGTGTGCAGTTCTGGTCACCACACCTTAAAAAGGATATTATAGCTTTGGGGAAAGTGCAGAAAAGGGCAACTCGAATGATAAAAGGGTTGGAACACTTTCCCTATGAGGAAAGGTTAAAGCGCTTAGGGCTCTTTAGCTTGGAGAAACGACTACTGAGGGGTGACATGATTGAGGTTTATAAGATTATGCATGGGAAAGAGCAGATAGAGAAAGAGGTACTTTTCTCCCTTTCTCGCAATACAAGAACTCGTGGGCACTCCATGAAATTGCTGAGCGGTCGGGTTAGAACGGATAAGAGGAAGTCCTTCTTCACCCAAAGAGTGATTAACACATGGAATTCACTGCCACAGGAAGTGGTGGCGGCTACAAGCATGGACGGCTTCAAAAGGGAATTAGATAAGCATATGGAGCAGAGGTCCATCAGTGGATATTAGCCACAAGGTATAGATAGGGACTCTGGGGCAAGTGATGCTCTGTCTTCTTGGTGCTCAACAGTGGGAGGGCTTCTAGTGTCCTGGCCCCACTGGTGGACCTCCTGATGGCACTGGTATTTCTGGCCACTGTGTGATACAGAGTGTTGGACTGGATGGGCCTTTGGCCTGATCCAACATTGGCATCTCCTATGTTCTTATGTCTTTCATATCACCTGCTGCCAGATCTTTTAACTGGAGGCGCTGGAGGTTGAACCTGGGACCTTCTGCATGACAAGCCGATGCTCTACCATTGAGCCACAGCCCCTCCCTTGGGGGCCAAATTGCATTCCAGTGGCATGTCTGTTGTTTGGATCAGGGTTACCCAGTGCTGGGAGTAATAACTGAGGTTTGTACTCTGGTTATGTCGGAGAAAGTAAAGGAGTGGCAAAATCTGTCACCTTCAATGAATGGTTCTGGTGTTCATGGAGGAGGGGCTTCGATGGCTTTTCTTAGCCGCCTTCTAGCACGCACTTTCTTCATGCTGACCCACAGAAACCCATTTGCGTGTTACCGTGGCCTTGCCTGTGTATCCCTCCCATTCCTCTATGTGATGCTAACATGTGACAGGAAGTTCGGAACGAACAATCCAGTCTATCTGCGAGATGACCATTATTTCCTCTTTTTGACACTGGAAACTCATTGCGATTCCTCCCTGTCTCCCAGCTATCCACTGCAGCCTAAATCCAAATGGTATCGATCTCTCTGTCCACACGGAAGGCATTAACCTGCAGCTTGAAGGCGAGAGGGTGGAATCGTCCTCACTTAAGAAGGAAAACTCGTCGAAGTTGCCCGAGTCGAAAGGAACGCCAAAGAGGCAGCAAGTAGAGCCAGAAGCATCTAAGGTAGGGCATTACATGCTGGTACTTTAGAGGGGCTGCGGTGGCTCAGAGGTTAAAACGCTGAGCTGCAGACTGGAAGGTCTGTAGTTCAGCAGTTCGAGACCCGAGTGCCACGTGACGGAGTTTCTCTGGCCCATCTCCTGCCAACCTAGCAGTTCAAAAGCAAGAAATTGCAAGTAGATAAATAGGTACCACTTTGGTGGGAAGGTAACAGCGTTCCGTGCGCCTTGGTGTTTAGTCATGCCGGGCACATGACCATGGAAACGTCTTCGGACAGCGCTGGCTCTTCAGCTTGGAAACGGAGATGAGCACCGCCCCCTAGAGTCGGATTCGACTGGCTTTCGAGCAAGGGAAACCTTTACCTTTTACCTTACTTTACATTCAGGAGGGGGCTCCTGTTATTCAGTAGTAGAGCACATGCCTGTTTGGGAGGCTAAAATTAATTAGTCTGTGAAGGGAATGGCAGGCAAAGGTTTTTAGGGGACTGAAGGGCTTCTGAGAGATGCTGTGCAGAAAGGGAATTTATGGAGAGGGACCATTGCCAGCAATCCATGCGTAAACCATGCACAGATTTATGCTAATGTACTAAAAAGATTGCACAGGGAACCCCTGTGTGTATTAATTATTTATTGCCAGATTTCACATTAGGCGTTTCCTAAAAAAGGACCCACAACCGCCAGCATTGAACTGCAGAAACGTGTTATCAGTAATGCTATTGTGTATTTTCAGTTATGCAAAGAGGCTTTCTTACAAGCAGGGACCCACGAGAAACTCATGGGGAAATCCTTCACTGGTTCCTGCTTTGCCATCTGGCTTCTGATACCTGCCTCCAGCCACCTTTCTGGCTTATGATACCTGCACCATCTTTTCCTCTCACTGCAACCTCCTCCTCCTCTTCCTCTTTTCCTTCCATACCCTGCTTTTCCTCCCCCTTGCCCTCCCTGCAAACCTCTCTTTCCTTAGTCTTCTCACCAGGGTCATTTCGTAGACAAAGAGGTGCAGGAGCTCATTAGCATAACTCATTAGGATAACTTATTTGCATATGCCACACCCCCTAACATCACCGGAAGTGTGTCAGAAGGCAATACCCACCGCTCAGGCTCCACTGGACTATTTTGGATTGCTAGCTATTGGGGGAGGGGGAACGTGCAGATCTGCCCTCACAGAGGAGGGAGAGCTTGTACCTGAATAAAACAATAAAAGCAGCAATCAGAGTGGATTTACCTTGACAATGTTGCTCAGTTTAAGCATCTGCAGATGGGGCCGTGTTGCAACTTAGACATATCGATGCTGTCTCTTTGTTGATCTCTTCTTCTGATATGGTTGGTTCTTTAGTGGAGAGCCAGTTTGGTGTAGTGGTTATGTGTACGGACTCTAATCTGGGAGAACTGGGTTTGATTCCCCACTCCTCCACTTGCACCTGCTGATGTGACCTTGGGTCAGTCACAAGCCCTGGCACAGCTGTCCTTGAAAAAGAGCAGTTTGTGTCAGAGTTCTCTCAGCCCCACCCACCTCACAGGGTGTCTGTTGTGGGGAGGGGAAGGGAAAGGAGTTTGTAAGCCGCTCTGAGACTCCAAGTGAAGGGCGGGGTATAAATCTTCTTCTTAGTTATAAAAAGTCGTCGACCCCTGGGCTTGCATAAAATCTGGGGAAAAGCTGCTGTCAGTAACAATAATCCGTAAGACTGGTGGCCTAACTCACTTACCCTGCATACACGTAAAAAACAATTTGTGAACAGTGCACCGATGATTTTTCTTTGTAGGCCTGCTGAGCAATTCTTTTGTTGCACTGAACATGCGACTTGAAACCGCACAGTTATCCCGGTGCTATTCTATGGTTTTATTGTTATTTTTAAGTTTTATTTAATTTTGTCATCATACTACAAAACTTAACAAGGCTACATCCATTTTACAGTCATTAAGTTCCATGGTTCTATATTTAAAGTGGAAACACAGTGGTTTAAAGTGGGACAAGAATAGTGGGTAAATCCCTCCCATCAGGAGTCATGTCTGATCCTGAGACAGTTTGTTTCTTGGGTGGTGGGACTTGAATGTACTAATAGCCACACCCATTGGCCAGCTGTATTGGAGAGCGGGAAGAGGGCAGACACTCTCTCTTCCCTTTCTCTCCCGTGAGCAAACCTCCACTCAGGGGTCGTTTCGTAGAAAAAGAGCTAGGGGAACTCATTAGCATAACTCATTAGCATATGCCACACCCCCTGACATCACCAGAAGTGTGTCATAAGGCCACACCCCCTGACATCACCGGAAGTGTGTCATAAGGCCACACGCCCTGCCCCCAATGGTCCCGGCCCCCGCCGGCCTTGCAGCTCCACTGCCGAGCCCCATGAGGGGCCCGGCGGTGAACCTGCAAGGCCGGCGGGAGTGCAAAGAAGCCCCACGAAGGCCCTCCCTGGCCCCAGGTAGGCAGGGGTGGGGAGAGGCAGGGAGGAAGCAACTTACCCTCCCTCTTCTCCTGCCTCCTCCTGGCTGAATGAGGGCCGGAAGTAGGGCGGCCGGAAGCAGCGGGCGGGGCTTCATTATGTGCCCCCCGTACCTCACCCGGGAGAACTGCGATTCCCCGCGATCCCCCCCGAAATGACCTCTGATGATGGAAGACAGGAGGGCCTGGCATGATGTGGTCCTTGGGGTCGTGAAGAGTCAGACTTGACTGTGTGACTGAACAACAGTAAAGTTTTAATTTTAATTGCCTGTAAAATTGTTTGGCAGCCTTCTTTTACTCTCCCTTTATACTGCCTTGCTTACTGGATACTATCTGCAGTTTGGTGTTCTAGGATGTGGAATATATACCCAATCTTGTCAGCTCTTAGAAGCTAAGGGGGGTCAGTACTTGGATGGGAAAGTTCCGTGCGCCTTGGTGTTTAGTCATGCCGGCCACATGACCACGGAAACGTCTTCGGACAGCGCTGGCTCTTCGGCTTTGAAACGGAGATGAGCTCCGCAACCCTAGAGTCGGATTCGACTGGCTTGCGAGCAAGGGAACCTTTACCTTTACCTTTAGAGTTGGAAGGGGCCATGCAGACTATCTAGTCCAACCCCCTGCCCAATGCAGGAGCAGCCTAAAGCAGCTCTGACAAATACTCATCCAGCCTCTTCTTGAAAGCTGTCAGCAAAGGGGAGCGTACCTACCACCTCCCTAGGCAGCTGATTCCACCTTTGGACCACTCTGACCATGAAAAAGTTTTCCCTAATATCCAGCCGATACCTTTCTACATGTCATTTAAAATTGTTGCTTTGTGTCCTATCCTCTGCTGCCAACTGGAACAGCTCCTCGCCCTCCTCCAAATGACAGCCTTTCAGATATTTAAAGAGAGCAATCATGTCCCCCCTCAATCGCCTCTTCTCCAGACTAAACATTCCCAGGGCCCTTAGCCTTTCCTCGTAGGGCTCAGTCTCCAGACCCCTGATCCTCCTCATCACTCTCTTCTGCACCCTCTCGATTTTGCCCACATCCTTTTTGGAGTGAGGCCTCCAGAACTGCACACAGTACTCCAGGTGCAGCACTGCACACAATGCTCCAGGTGTGGCATAAGCTACCCTGATCCCACTTGTGGGATAGGGTGGGGTATAAATTTAATAAATAAAATTCATCATCATCATCATCATCATCATCATCATCATCATCATCATCATCATCATCATCAATCTTGGGAATAAATTTTCCCAGAATTGAAAATGGCTTCCGGGGGGAGGAGAGGACAGGTAAAATCCTGGATCATTGGTGCTTTTGGCTGGTGTTTCGTGGGATTGAAGCTGTTAGTTCTTCCTTTGAAACCGAAGTCTGTGCATTCATGCAGGTTGTATGCGTGTTCATTGTAATGTGTGCACAGGCCTTTGGGCAGCATCCCATGTTCATTAGAGGCTCCTGAAGTGTTTGCCGTCCTGTGGAAGATCTTGGTTTCTCAAAAACCCAGTATATAGAATTTTTTTTTGTATGTAAAGCTTTAAACTGTGTGTGTGACAGACAGAGAAAAAAGTGCTCCATGTCTGAGGCATCGAACGCATTTGTTATGAGGGCTGGATCTGACATAGATGTCATTTTTGTTGGCCCGGGCCATGTTTGCCATAAAATGTAATGCCAGGTACTGGAGGTATAAACTTTATAAAGGACACAGACAAAACCAATTAACAATATTTTTTTAAACTCAAAATACAAACAAAAGCATTTGGTTTCTAGGAGTTAAACCAAATGATTTACTGGGGAACCCGCAAAATCCCCCATAAATGTATTTAATCATATACAAGACAAGTTTTCCCCCCAAGGGATACCATAAAAGGGGAAGTACCTTACATTTCCATACATACCAGTTGCTTGTGGGCTGGGTAAGAGCCCTGGCCCCCTGGCCTTATGTTTGACACCCCTGCTCTACATATCCGGTTAAAAAGTGTTCAGATATCCATCCTGCTGGCGTGGACGTAAAATGACAGACTGACTTAAGGAAAACAGAGCTCCATTTGGAAAAGCATCTGGCGACTTGCAGCTTGAATTTCGTATGCATAAATATTTGAGTGTTTTCCCTGCATTTTTAGTAATATTAGTTGTTTACGAGTGAATAAATGCCTTATGCTGTTGTTTAACATCAGTTTGTGTGCATCTTGAACAAGGTTTCTCCAGGTTTTGAATCTGTGCCGTTCAAGCCTCCCACTTTCCCAGCCACTTGGTCCTCCGTGCCAGCCTCAAAGGGGAGGGCATGGCTGATGGAACAGAGACAATTCTGTACACTCAACAGACTACTCAAGTGTGCTTTTCAATGTGTAAGAACCACAGGTCCTCTTATAGCCCTTTCCCCCTTGCAATTAATTCAGGATTGCTCCCATCCCAGTTATTTTATTTAGGGTGCCATCGGCATTACTCGGATAGATCAGAGCAGGAATTATAGTGACATTGCAGATACCTTCAGGTGAGTAGCCGTGTTGGTCTAATGCAACAGAACAAAGTTTCAGTCCAGCGGCCGCTTTAAGACCAACAAAGTTTAATTCTGG